AGACCTGAGAAACGGGGATTTCATGGGCTTTTAGATCTTCGATGTTACGTAGTTTAAAAGGTTGAAAAGACAAACGCTGTTTCAAACGATAATTTCATCCATTTTGATTTTCGATTGTAATTGAATTTGTTTTTCGAAATTTTTTTATCTATATAATTTTATCTGAATGACCGAGTGGCTAGCGCTCTGGCGCTCGGTACCACAGGTTTCGGGTTCGAGTCCCATTGGTGCCATGGATGTTGTAGTGGTTCGGAATCCACTTTAAACCATAGGTCCCGGTCCTAATAGGATCGTAGAGCGTTGCGGGGGCTTTGCTACTCCGCGTCCGTGTCTTCAAGTTACACGCGCTCCCTGGATAATGCAAAGTGAGTAACGTCTGTGCAGCGTTTGCCTTAAGGCATCCAAGACCAAGCTGTCTAAGTGTTTGCCAACTGCATTAGAACAAATATATATATATATATATATATTTTGATGATGAATCAGAATCATTTATTCATCATGGAGGAAGAGTTGGACAACTTGTGTCCACTTCGAAAGTACATCCCCAAGTGCGAATACTTTTCCTCAAATACAATGGACGGAGAATGGAGTAGTTGCAGATAATTCGTGACCATCCTGAACGTACATCAGTATTATAATTTTGTGAAAAAGATTTTTTTCTTAACAAGTCGAGAAATAAAGTATTAAACATTCTTAAAAGAACTGGTAGACTTGTAACTTTCCTGTTCTTTTAAGAATGTTTAATCTGCAGATCAACAGCCTTTCACTCTTTAGTTCCGCTTCAAGGAGGACATCTCTTTTAAACGGGTTTAGATCGTATTATGGGTAATTTGAACCCGAACAACTCCAGTGATTTCAGCCTTCATTTGTTTTTTTCCTCCAACCTTTCTATCAATGTTGGGACTACAAATCTTGCTCTTGCTTTTATATTAAAAATGACTTTCAAAGAAAGTCATTTTTCTTATATATATATATAATGAAATGATTCTTATATATATATAATGAAATGAAAAATGACTTTCAAAGAAAGTCATTTTTCTCATACTTTTTACATTTATTGCTTGTGCTTATTTCGGTATTTATTAACTTGTTTAATTATATAAATATTTATTTTTTCATTATTTAATTTAAATTTATTTACTTTTTTTTTTGGATTGATTATCTTCCTAATTTGTTCTAGGTTTGTTGTCTTGTCTTCCTAATTTGTTTGTTTGTTGATGTGTTCTAGGTTTGTTTATGTCGGCTTTCTGATTCCAGTGTTTGAAGTATTTGGTGATCCATCGACCAGAAAAAGGAAAATAGTGGTGAATGATTTTCGGCGAATTGCTAATTCTTGTATAATCAACACATCTCTTTGACACTTGGCTTCTGATAGATGCAAGGTACATCACAGTTCCAGGTATGTAAAACGATGGACTTCAGGAGAAGTAAGTGTTATTTCATGCATACCTTATTTAAGGTGGAGGTCGGCTTTAGAGGGGATTAACACTAACCCTACAGGACATGGTTAGCCAACCTATAGGGTCAGTCAACACATCTCTTTGACACTGGCTTCTGATAGGTGGAAGGTGCATCTCAGTTCTAGTTGTGTAAATCTGTTGGACTTTCGGTGTAGAAGCAGCTATTTAAGTGTTATTTCAAGGGTACTTCATCATTTAGGGTGGAGATCATCTCTAGAGAGGATTAACACTTACCCTATAGATACTGGTTAGTCTTTTTTTACCAAGAACTTGCTTTTCCTTGTTGGGCTAAATGGTCAGTAGGGCTGTTTGGAACTTGAACTTATATGATAATTATTTAAGAATACTTCTTCAGATTCTTCCAATTAATCTCCGACGAAGGTATACCTTAGTTCCAGGTGGATAAATCAGTTGAACTTTCAGGAATAGAAGGGGCTATTTAAGTTTTATTTCATGGGTACCTCATTTAGGGTGGAGATCGTCTATAGAAGGGGGGGGGAATAACACTGACTCTTAAGATCATGCTTAACATTTTTTTTGCCAAAAATCTGCTTTTCCTTGTTGAGCTCAATGGTGTGCTGTGCTGTCTGGGCCTTGAACATATATGATTATTATTTAAGAATACTTCTTCAAATTCTTCCAATTACTGGCGAAACCCTCAATTCCCAAAACATTTTTCATAGTTAGAGGTTCCAAAACTTTAAAATATTTTATTCCATTAATATCTGAGAATCCAAAATCTAATATACAAATCTCATTTTGCTATTGAGAAAGAATTTTGTGGCAATGATGGGAAGTCTCAAATCGATAAAAAACTGAAATCTTGATTCCTTTTATGCTTTATAACCAAAGTAATTACTACCCCAGGGATGGCCAATCCAAATGATCTTGCGGGCCACTTTGGAAATGCATCATAACTCCACGTGCCTCATGTAAAATTATATATCCCTATATTATATTTAAAACCCACTATAGACTTTTGGAGTGAAAAATTGGAACATAATGAGTTATTATAGTGTTTACTATCATTCTTACATGTAAACATAGATAATATAATAATAATGATACTAAACAAACATTATAAAGAAAAAAAAAAAAAAATATGAAACATAAAAAAAAAATGAAAATATAAAAATATATAAATGTAAATGAAATAAAAAATGCTTATTTTACTAGTGCGATATTTGCTTGCGCAAGAATATAATTTTAAAATCAAAGTTAATTTTTCTCATCATTTCGACAGTTAATTTTTGAATATATGGATGCACACATAATGTATTTTTTTCAGTACATTGGTTTTCACTACTTTGGTCATTATAAAATAAATATACTGTAAAAGTCTACGGGTCAGAAAAGTCTTCAAGGCGGGCAGCGGGTTGGCCACCCCTGTACTACTCACTGACACATTTCTCAATCAGCGAACATGAATCATAGATGTCACTTCATAGATTTTTAATTTTACTTCGAGTAATCATTTCTGAAAGGGAACAGGTTGTTTTGCTCCGAATATGAAATTTATGGAGAATTATCTAAATAGAACGTCATGCCAGCTCGATGAATTACTATTAAAAATTGCGTAGAAATTAGCGAAACTAAACTCCTAATTTTGACTTTCGCTTCAACAGATTTACGATCAAGCGTGAAAGCTGGTTACCTGAATTTCTAACTTTTACCTAATCTTGTGTGATGTTTTAACTGTCAAAATTTGATCATTCAAAACCTGTGTGCTGTAGTAAGAAAACTTGCACCAGCACATACTACTGTGTCCAAAAAGTAAGACCATATATACACTCATATTATTTCCTTTCGACAAAAATTGTTTTGTTTCAATGCCAAATGAACAAAAAATGTTAGACGCATTTTAATATACTCTTGTGCCATAAAGTAAGACCGATTTTCAATTTAAAAATTCCGAGACTTATGCAATTTCAATTTTTTTTTTTATATTTTGGGTTGCTGGCACTGTCCTTGACGTCTGTGTGAATTTTCACGTCAAAACATTCATTGGTGTTTGAGTTACGCTTGGCTTTGTGAGACACCAAAACAGATTCCGGCGATTTTTAAATGTCTGAATTAATTGAGCAAAGGACTTGCATTCAATTTTGTTTGCGGAAACGTACAGAATGTTGCAGAAGGAATTCGGTGAGCATTCCTATATCGGAAAGAAATGTTTAGAAGTGTTTTAAACAGTTCAAAGAAGGCAGTGAACGCGTTGAAGACGAAAAGCCCTCTGGTAGACCATCAACCTCAACCGACCAAGCTCACGTCCAAAAAATTAAAGATTTGGTGCTTGCAAACCGTCGATTTACAATTAGAGACCTTGCTGTTGATGTTGGAATTTCAAAAGGATCGGTAAATTCTATTTTGGGCCTCAAACGCTTCAAATCTCGATTGGTACCGAAAACACTGAATGCACCAGCTCACACTGCATTGATTCTTCGTGACTTTTCCGCCAAAACTGAAACCCATATCCTTCTACAACCACCGTATGCCCACCGTGTGATATCTGGCTATTCCCTATACTCAAAAGACCATTCCGAGGACACCGTTTCGAGTAGATTGAAAAGGTTCAACGTGAATTGCTGCTCGCTTCGAAGGCCATCCCTGCCGATGACTTTTTAGCATGCATTGAGCATTGGGAAAAAAGTTAGCAGCAATGCATTGTGTCCGGAGGGGATTACTTTGAAGGCGATAAAATAAATTTGGAAGAATAAATCAAGAGTTTTTGAAAAAAAAAATTGGTTTTACTTTTTGGTCGCAGTAGTATATTCAGGTTGCATAAACAAACCAAAGGTGAGGGAATTGCCTTGGAAAAACTCATCCAATCCTCAGGGACAGACAGAGAAAGGATATTTGGTTAAGAATTGTTGCAACATTTAAAACCAAACATTAAGTTCCTATAATTAAATCCTTCATTTCTCAAGCGAGTCAAACAACAACAGTTAACTTGTTACATCGATTACAGTTAATTACCACTATTGTGTCAATTTCCACTTCAACTGCTGTTCCTGGACTTTTCGAAAAATAGTAAACCTGCGATGCATGCTATTAAATTGAATTAATTATTAATAATTGCAGAAAACTTTAAACGTTTTTAAAAACGCTCTGGCTAGCGCTCTGGCGTTCGGTACCACAGGTATCGGGTTCAAATCCCGGCTTTGCCCATGGGTGTTGTAGTGATTCGGAATCCACTTTAAACCGTAGGTCCCGATCCTAATAGGATCGTAGAGCGTTGCGGGGGCATTGTTACTCCGCGTCCGTGGCTTACCATCAAGTTACACGCGCCCCCCTGGGTAATGCAAAGTGAGTAACGTCTGTGCAGCGCTTGCCTTAAGGCATCCAAGACGTCCATGTCTAAGTGCCAGCTGCATTAGAACAAAAAAATGTTGGCAAGCAATACAAACACTAATCCCCGATGGACATCAAAGAACATCTAATGAAGTCAGTAATGTAATTTTAGGACGAAATGATTACAGACGACGAGGGAACATAATAATATTCTTCGTCTATCAAAATTTAATTTTTATATTTCACGACGCCAACGGCTATACCATGCTGAATATATCGGTTCTCGTTAGATCACCGAAGTAAAGCATCATTGGTACTTGGTGGGGTACTTGGGTGGGTGACCGCCTGGGAACACCACGTGCCGTTGGCATTCACAAATTTGGGACCTGAATGGCCGAGTGTCAGGCGCTCGGTGCCACAGGTTCGGGTTCGAATCCCGGCGGTGCCATGGATGTTTGTAGTGGTTCAGAATCCACTTTAAGCCGTAGGTCCCGGTCTCCTATCTCTGTAAGAGCATCACGGAGCAAAAGTCAGCCTTCTACCTACGGGTGCTCCATCACAACAGAAGCTGCTTCCTTCCCCTTCAATCATGAGTACATGTGGGCTCGTGGGCTTGGCCAGCCAAGTGGGATAAGAAACAACAACAACATATTTCAAGACGAACAGTTGAAAAAATAAAATTAATAATATTATAATAATTAATATGTATATTAATACTTCTCATATGCTTGCCAATAAATGACAAAAAAATTGATTAAATTTTTTGAAATACCACTCCTGTAAAATCCTGTATTGAAATTTATTGACGCTTGTGATTATATCGTAAGTAAATACATTTTATTTCTATTTCTTCTAGTTTTATGCATAAATTTGTAATGAGTTTGAATACCTTATATTTTAAGTTTTCGTGTTAGTGGCTGGAATTTAGTGTTAAAATAGCTGAACTTCCATTGGATCTATGTTTTACTTTATGAATCTACGAATAATTGCTTAGTCTTATTTAGAAACCCCGTGAAAAGTTTCATGTATTAGTTATTATCTACTGTAACCGTGCTTTCTCCTACACATTGACAAGAAATGGTCAGTAGGCCTCGCAACTCTCACCCGAGAAGTATTACAGCGCAAGCATGCGCTTTCGCTGAGAACCGCTTAGTTGGTCTACAGTCTCTCCCTAAGAGAAATATATAAAGCGCAACCCTGCGTATTAGTTGGCCTACAAATTCTCACCCGGAGACGAAGTAAATTTCAAGCCTCCTGTGCATAGCTGAGTACCGGATTTTTGGTTTAGAAGTGGAACCAAGTATCTATAATTATATGTCTTTAAATGTGTTAAATATTGTATGTCTTTAATTGTATGTATATGGTGTTTGTGTGTGCGTATAAATAAAACTGCGAGTTCTCCAACCTGTGCTTCAAGTAGCTCAACCCAACCACACCCAGTTACAATCCAGTTGCCCAACCTGCACACTACACTACACTACACGAAGACAAAATGTAATAATTTTTGTATAGCAGTGGAATTCTAATTAAAATTACATTACTAACAATTTTTTCTATGATCATACAGTTTAGTTAAATACTGTCGAATGTAGAAAATTCATATAAAAATAATGCAATGAATTTTAAAATGATTTTAAAGAATAAATAAGCAGAATAATACTCAAATAAAATTGGTGAGTATTGTTTTGAAAAAAAAAAAATTATGACTGCAAAATTGAGAACAATGTATTTCTGTTACCTCGCTTAAAGGGTCTATTTTTTGTTCACTGTAATTTTAATATGAATAATAATAAAAAGTTAATATGAATATTTCTTGCATATATGAGAATATTATATTTAAATTTTCTAGATATGAAAACTAATGCATTTTATTTCACAAATATCTGAATTACTTTTTTTTGAAAATATTTTTTTTTTCATTGTACACAAGTAACATATTAATATTTTACTATACAAATTTTAAAACATATTTTATTTATCAATACCATTTTCCACGTTTACTAGCCCAAAGTGGCTATAATGTACATATTCAGATGGTTATGTTTTAAGAAATCAGTTGAATTACTTTTAAAAATATGACATGTTGAAATGAATTTTCACATAATATTTATAATATTCTTAAACTGTTTTTTTTTTTATTTTCTTTTAAAACAAAATAATGTATGTGATGAATTAATGTCCATGCTATTAAAAATGCATTTGTGAAATATTATTTAGTGAAAAACCACAAAACGTTTTAAAAATTGAATGTCATTTATTTAGAAAAGTGAACTTCTTTTTTTTTGAAAACGGTTTGTTGAAAATAGCATATAAATTAACATACAATAACGATACATAATAACATTGAAAAGTTTCATAGGCAGTGATAATCAAAATAATAACTTAATAGTTTCGGAAGAAAGAAAATAAAAATAAAAATAAAATAATTTCAAAAATAAATTTGTTCCACAATTTAAAAGATATTACAAATTTCTATTATATTAGTCATTAAAGTTATGAAATTTGGTTTACAAGATTAGTAAATAAGAGGTAAAACTTCATTCGATTTAATTATGTAGCTTAAAAAAGAATTTATATAAGTGATACATTGTAAGTGGTAACTAAAAACTAAAGTGGTATTGTAAGTGGTTACGTAATTACATTGTAAGTGGTGAATAAAAAAAATATTGTACATATAAAGTTATATGTGAATTAAAAAGTGATATTAAAATGTTATGTTAAATAGAATAAACAATCACGCGATGTTATTTTTTTTTTTTTTTTAAAAAGAGAAATTAAACAATCTTCAGCCTAGCAATTGTTTGGTATCCAAACATAATCATAAAATCTTATGCATGACTTCATTTAATTAAAAAATAAAAAAAAAAACAGAATGCAAATATTGATGCAAATTCCACATTTATATACACGACAATAAACATTTAAATGATATCTTTAAATTGGCGTTTGTGAACTGGTAACTTTGGCAACGAATCAGACCATTTTACAATGGAGGGGTAAAGGATGGATAAGCATTGGGTCAGGATTTCTGGTGTGATGGTTTCTTCCAATTCTCAATAGATCCGATAATTCATGACGAAGTGGTGGGTGCAAATCTTCATGTCCAGAAAAAGGGTTCAACTTCTAGATGTTCAACAGATTCCGGATGGTGATTCTTTGGGAAGTCGTATGCACCATATCCTCTGGTATCACCAGATCCAGCAAATCCACCAATTCTTTCCTTGGTCATGTTGAATTCTTCTTGGTATGGTGCATTTCCATACGAGTCGTAAGAAGTTGAGATACTCTGGTATGGCAGATTCTGGTATTCTCCTGAATAAGAGCTGTCAACATATGAAGAGGGGTCGTTAGGGGTATTGCCTTAGATCTTCTTTTACTGGGTAGCTTTCTGTCGGTGCATGGTTCTGGTAGGCAAGAGGGCGACCTCTTGGCCATTCTTGGATTTGACCTACAGGTAACCTCCAGTCGTAAATTTTGACTTCTGCTTCTTGTCCATGCACTATGGAGAGAAGAAGTAGTAATGGAACTAGCATCTGAAAAAGACGGAAAAAATAATTATTAAAATAAACTTATTTAATTAAGAAAGAAAAATAATTACATTTCTTGAAAGGCAATAAACATATATATATATATATATATATATATATATATATATATATATATATATATATATATATATATATATTTAATTCCAATGGCAGATTATGAACAGTTACAGCAAAAAAAGAACAACGAAAAAAAAAAACATACAAAATAATACAACAAACAAAACATGCTGAAACAGAGTTCATTAATCTAACAATAACGCCAAGTTGCAGATCTTTTAGCCACTAAAAAGTGTTACCAGGTTTACCACGGGGAGGTAGATCTGGGGAGGTAGACCCGGCAATAAACATATAAACCTATTGATAACTACCGTTTCAAACGAGGACATAATAAAGATTGTTGATAACTCTATTAATAAATTTTAAATACTTTATTTCTTGTTTCAAATATCAAGAATGATGGTGAACTTATACTGGTTCCATTACATCCCATAAATGTTTGAAAATTTCATTTTTTTTTTATGCCAACAAAAACTAATGTTTGACTCACTTGTAATAAATGACTAAAAGTTTACACATAAATTTTTTTTTTTTTTTAAAAATAAAGTGATTAACAGAAGATTATAAAATTATATAGTTGCCTGTGAATCAATATCTCATTTTGTTTAAATAGGCATATAAACAGACAAAAGAACTTACCTTTTCAATGATTATGACAAGTATATGGTTTATATTTTTAATATTAAAGTAGAATAGAATAATAATAACAAAGATAATGATAAAATAGCAAAAAAATATAATGAAGTATAATCATGTATTTAGAAAGCAAAAGTACCCTAATTTTTTAACATAAACACTAAAATGAAAAATATTTGTGTAGTTGTTAATACATACAATAGAATCTTTGATTGTTAGAAAGTCAAAGCATTTTTAGTATTTAATTTAAATTTTATTATCAATAGCTGTGTGGTGATTAGCTTTATGAAGCATTTGATATTGATGTCAACCTAGTTTTAAGAAAAGAATGTGGATAACTTCTCACAGGAAATCAAAACAAATTCAGGTACCTGTTTAAATGTAAAACTTCTTATTTTTTAAAAATCTCATTAATAGTTAAACAATAAATCTTACTTGTCATAACTGGAACTATTTCGTAATTTTAATAAGAAATTATTTAAAATAAGTCAAAAAATTTAAAAGGAACACAAATCAGGAAGTAGGAAGAATTACTTTTGTAATCAGTACTGTCAGATTAAGTTATTTGTACTCGTACAGTTAAAAAGAATAAGATAACACAAAATTAATCAAACCAAGAAATTATTTTTTACTTTTCAATAAAGAAAAATAAAATAAAAATGAAATTTAAAAAAAAGGGAGATTCGTTTAATAACGAAATGGGTTAATAAGAGAGAGAGAGGGTGGGGGGGAGAATAATCCCGCTTACGAATTTGAATTCATCATATGTTAACATGCACTTCCTACTGTATTTAAAGTAATAACGAAATACCGTGATTGTTTACAATTTCAGAATATGTCAATTTGTTAAATCTATGGAAAAATAGCATTCGTGATTTGACTTAATACTGAAAGGTTATTTCTTAAATCTTAAAGATTTTAGTCATTATATTATCAGTTTTATCAAGAACGTCAATCAGATTCACTAGACATAAGACTATAACAACGTCCAATAAACACAGCCATTTGTCGAGGTCGAAGTTAGCCATTATGTGAAATGAACGTCAATCAGATTCACTAGACATAGGATTTTACCAACGTCCAATAAACACAGCCATTTGTCGAGGTCGAAGTTAGCCATTATGT